TCCCCTGTGCATGGACAGCTCCCCACCATCACGGGGGCTTTCGGGTTCACTTGTCTGTCTCCCCTCAGCTATGAGCTCCTCAAGAGAAGCACATCTTAGCTCTGGTTTGGCACTTGGTAAAGCCCAAAAAGGTCTTCAATAAAATGCATGGGAGCGTTGGCTGACCTGCCCCAGAGCTCAAACAAGGCCATCAAGACCTCTGCCCAACTGAGGTCAAAACGCCAGCCCAGAAAACGCAGAAGGCAGCCCAGTGCGCCCAGAACCGTTCGCTTAGGAAGCCCCAAATTCCTGCTCGCCAGTGGAGTCTGCCAGGACCCCACACTCAGCTGCACTGTCTGGGGCCAGCCCTTCTTCCCTGAGCTCTCGCACCCCTGCATGCCCCCTGCTCAGAGCCGTCCGACAGAACAGCTACAAAAACACTGGACTTGGGGCTGGAAACCCGAGTCACACGAGTTTGCTGTGTGACTTTGGGCAATAACTTCCTTTACTGGGGCTCGGTCTCCCCACAGGTTAAGTGAAAATGCGACCTCCTAAGTCCTTCTAAGTCTGTGAGAACCTGTTCTCTACAAGCCGACACAACCGGGATCACCTGGTTCCTCAGCGATCCCTTTAGGCTCTACGTTTAAGACATGTAAGACTGGAGCCCACCTCCCTCACTGCTTCCCCCACCACTACGCTGGCCCAGCGTCCAACACCTCAGGCCATGACAACGGTCTCCCCGTTGGTCTCCCCGCTTCCTCCCTCCACCCCACCCAGTCCATTCTCAGCATAGTAGCCAGAAACCAGCCTTCTAAAGCTCAGCGGGATCCTGGCCCTCCTCTGCTTGAACTCCTCCATATCACCACTTCCTACTTGGGGTCAAAGTCAGAGTCTCAACAAGACTTGCAGGGCCCTGCTGGGTGTGGGATTTCATTACTTCTCCAGCCCCTTCCCCTGCTACCCGTCTCCTCCCTCCTTCCCTCCAGTGTCTAGAACTTCTTGGACAAGCTCCTGCTGCAGGGCCTTTGCACAAGCTGTCTCCTGCCTGAATACTCCTCGGGATAAGCTCCTGGCTCTCTCCTTGGCTTCCTTCAGGCATTTGCTTAACTGTCCCAACTTGAGAGGCCTTCATATTTATTTAGCATTAATCTCCATCTGACAGTCTTTGTTTATTGTGTGTCTATCCACACTAGACTATAAACCCAAGAGAGACAGGATTTTCAGTGTTGTATCAGTCCTTTATACCCAGCTCCCAGAACAGTGGGTACTTGCTAACTGCTGAGTGAATGCATTTACTGCAATACACAGAATGAACACATTCTGAGCACCTGCAGGTCAGATCATGCTGCTAAAACGTACAGTCTGGGGCCACACAACCTCCAGCGTGAACGGCATCATCTCAGGATGCCATTTCTCCTGAGAATCCCCAGCTCCGGACACTGTCTCCAGGAATCAAAGTGATTGCTCTAGGCAGGTTTGCCACTCAGGAAGCGTGTGCAGGAACAAAGCAAGGAAATGACCCAGAGAACACTGACCGGACCTGGTCCCGGGAGGGCTGAGGGTCAGCTCATAAGGAAATGCCACCAGGTGCCTCCTTGCCGGGCAAGACGGGATTATCAACACAGCATCGGCATCGGTGAGGGCACAGGACCCCACACCACCCCGCCGTGGGGAAGTACAAGAGACTCCAGCAGCCAGCTCGTGCTCAGAACAGCCCAGAGGCCGAGGTGGGGGAAGGGGGAGCAGGAGGCAGCTAGAAGAGGGGCTACCAGTGCCGAAGGCCTCTGGGCAGAGCCCCAGCTGGGATAAGGGTGGGTGAGACCCAGCCACTGGCCTCGCGTGGCCTCAAGGAAACTAAGGCATCTTCTCACCCTGGCCCTGCCGATCCCGGAGTGCGTGAGCAGACTGCACTCAGACCAGGCTCCCTGAGAGCCCGTGGAGTCCCTGTGCAAATTTCAACAGGTGACCGGGAGCCGGGACCAGAAACAAAGCCAGAGGAATGCACTCCTGCCACCCAGGTGAAAAGGAAGTATGGCCTCAGGAAGTGCACCTGAGTCAAGAGGTAAAGCCAAGGAGTGGGCACCTAGAGGCTCCCAGCACACTGAGGAACAGAGAGGCCCAAGAGCCAGAATCTGGTGTGGTGTTCTGTCTGTGGGTGGGGAGACCACGGCACTCTCCGGGCCGGCCCAGGGCCAGGGCTGCACTGGCCATGTGGCAAGGGCTCCACATGAGAAAAAAAAAAACATAGCCGAGGAAGCCAGGCAGGGCACAGGAGGGGAACTCACATCCCCCAGAGAGCACCCAGCTCTCTCCCAAACAAGGCAGGGGCACAGCAAAGGAATGCAGGAAGCGAGCCGCATTCTGGGTGTAGGTTACGACACAGGGTCCAGGAGGCCCCCCCTCCCGACCACAAGCTCCGGCCTCTCCCTGCACATGGGCACAGCCTCCCACACCGGTTACAGCTACCGAATTCACCGATCATCACAGGCCTAAACCCCGAGCTGCTGTGACCCGGGTGCCTGCGGGCAGGATTAACGAAGCTTCTGCAGGTGAAGGAGAGGAGCCCCTGCCCTGCCATGGGCCTCTGTCCTGACCTTCGGGGAAGGCGGGAGGCCAGCAAGTGTGGGCGGGACGGAAGTGTGTGTAGGTGCTGCTGGGCTGAGGTCCTGTCGGAGGCATCCGCTCTTCTTTGAGATAGTGACCTTGCTGAGGCCTCACAGAGACAATGGCAGGAAGCGCCCCTCCCAGTGAGAGCTGGGGAGTCAGGAAGGAAGTGCTGACCCAGGGCCTGGGCCGGCAGACCCTCCCCACAGAGGAAAACGTCAAATGACAGAAGCTCTGAGCCCCAGCTCAGGACGGCAAACATCTTCAACTTCTACTTCTACCCGGGCTGGGTGGGTGTCGGAGGGCACAGACGCTCCCAGCCGGGACCCCTCTGTCAGGCAGACCTGCTCTGCGGACCGCCCTGATTCCAGGCCAAGCTGTTGCGCAATGTAGCCAGGCTGAACCGAGACCACTCCAGCTACCCCTGGCCTGCGCCCACCCCACCCCCACCTCCTGGAAGGAAGGGCTCCCGTTCCTTTGCAGCAAGGATCTCCTCCAAAAATAGACCCTGCTCCTTAAGCCCTTTCCTTCCTCTCGCCCCTGCAGAGATGAGGAGGCCTCATATTCCCAGCTGCTGGCGAGGGGCCGCCTCCTCCCCGCTTCCCAACGCGTCCCAGCCGGGGCCTGGGGGTCCTGAGGCCTGGCACAGCCATAGACTCCCACAGGGAGCTCAGAGGCATGTAGGGGGCAACCGTGATCTTCCTCTCTGCCAAGCACAGAGGGGAGACCGTGGCAGGGTATGATGTCACGCGGGCGGGACTCCTGTCTGTTCTCTTCTCAGCTGCATGCCTGGAACCCCAAAACAGTACCTGGTCTATCCTGAGGACATGGTAAATGTTCACGGGATAAATGAATAAAGCAGAGGAATTCCGGAGCACACCTGGGGCGAAGTGGGGCCCCCCAGAGAAGATGGCCACAAGGCCACCATCTCTAAAACCCCAGAACTGGGGGACGCAGCTACTCAGAAGGGAAAGAACTGCCTTCTGGGGGGGAAGGCAACAGGAAGCGAAGCGCTGTCGTCAGAACTTGGGCTTCGTGGGCAGGGCAGGGCTCATGAGGCCCCACAGCCAGGCCGCCCTCAGGCGCCCTCGGGGAGGCTCGGGAGCAGGCCTGCGGTCCCCGCCAACCCTCCCCCCGCCACCCCCAGCCGCTGAGGCTCTGAGACTCTCGGAGAGTGAATTAAAACAAGACAACAAAACAAAAAGACAACAGAGGACTCTCTCCTCTTCGCACTTGCAGGCCTTTTCACAGCAACTAAAAAGAATGAGCAATTACAGCGCACACAGCCTGCGGTGCCAACACAGAAACACAGGAGCGAGGGGGGCGCTCGGCGGAGGTCTTGTCTGCCGTGCCCTGCTCCCCAGCGAGGACCAGAGGCCCAGAGGCCGCAAGAGGCTTACCTGGGCCAGAAGGCGAGGAAGGATAGAGCCTGGACCCCATCCTTCGGGGAAGCCCCTGCCATATTTGGAAAAACATGCCGTGTGTTTTAGGGTCTAAACTTGGGGTCCAGTCCCAAGCCCGCCCCGACTATCTGTGCGACCTTGGAGCAGACACTTGCCACCTGAGCCTCAGCTTCCTTGTGTGACATGGGATCCTCGGATGCTGTGGGCTTAGTGGAGCTGGTGCGCACAGTATGTTCAGGGAGGGACACTGGCATTACCCACCCCCCAGCCTCTTCACCCTGTCAGGTTAGTCTCTCCAGATGGGACATCCGTTCTTCTTGTCCCCAGATTTCCAACTAGCTGATCAGCGCTCAGGGAGAGGGGTGCCTTGGGGTTTAGAACAAGAAAAGGCAACACCACTTTACCTGTTCTACCCACCAAAGGCCTTGGCAGGACAAGAAGGGGACAGGGTGAGGCCTGTGCCGGAAACCCAGGGACAGGAAATGGGATGTGATGGACAAGATGCCCAGGGGGACCCAGGGCAGGAGGGGAAGAGCTACGCACTGGGAGGCCCGCCAAGGCCACCGCTGACTCCACGGAGGGCCTCAGACACGCCATGGCCCGCCCCCCGCTCAGTTTCTCACCCAGTCCGTGTCACTGACTACCGCTCGTGGGGAAGGCGGTGAGGCAGTACCCAGCCCCTGCCCTCTGCCAAGGCCTAGGAGCCCTGTTTCCTGGGAGTGGGGACCCCAGGGTGGGCCAGGGGCTCCAAGAGAAGAGAGGTCCCTCAGGGCACACAGTACAGCAGAGTCACAAGGGCCTCCCAAATGGGGTGTTTCGTTTCCGGAATCTAAAGGAACCACAGACAGAACACCGGTCCTACCTACTTAGTGACGAACAATCAATATTTGCAAGAAGTGGGATCGATTCGTACCATCTACCCCGTTAATCAGATAAAGTCAGATGCTTAAGGGAGAGGAAACAGCAGGAGAGCCCCTGCACCCCCAGACCCCAAAGCCAGTGGGTGGTCCTTACCTGTGGGTCCGTGGGAGAAGGCTCCCTCGATGTCCTGCTGCAGGAGGAGGGATGACTCGCTAGGCACACGGAAGGGGGTCGGCGACCAGGACTCACGTGTCAGCATCCTGCAGGGAGAACCCAGTGGGGGAGGATGTGAGACACCAGCTGCTCCAGTCACTCAGGGCAACCCAGCCGGGAAACCCACAGGGCCCGGCTTCCTCCTGAGCAATGCCAGAGACCCGGAAATCTAGCTGTGCCAAGGGGAGAGGACAGGAAGCCTGAAGGAGTCTGCTCTCCACAGAGGGACCCGATCTAGGATGTGGTCCCAGAGGCTGATGCACCCAGTGCTGCCCCGGGCTCCCTCTGCTTCAGAAGAGAACCAGGACCCACAGCCCCAGCGTGCAGGACCTTGCCCGGCCCAGAGCTCTCAGCCCCAACCCCAATATTGTTCACCTATCCGTCTCTGGGATGGCAGGACCCCAGGTTGCAGAGGGGGTGGCCAACGGAAGAGAAGCAGGGGACAGCAGCCTAGACCTCTTGGCCACCAGCCGGGAGCATCCTGATGCCCGGGGCGGGGACATAAGCAGCGTCATGGGGCGATGCAAGTCCCTGCAGCTGGGCGGCGTGTAACTGGAGACCCACCTCTGCCAGATATCCGGAGGCCAGAGACAAACACAACACGACAGAAAAGGTGGAGAAATGGATTTCTGGGGCGTCCTGGGTGCAGTCAGCCTCCAAGACATCAGCAAATTCACAGGCACGGCTGGAGCCGCCTCCCAACCCGGGGTTCCCACCGGGGCCCACACCTGCAGCTCAACACCGTTCTCGTTTGTCTGACGCACTTGCCTGACCCCATACAGAGCCCAAGTAGCTGGCAGCAGCAAGGGGGGAGGCTTTCCCCTGACCATGACCGGAAGGCAGCCCCACCCCCAGCCCCGCCAGCACCGGAGGCCGTAGAAGTCACGGTTCTCTAGGAACCAATTCTCAGCTCCAGAGAGCCCCCCCTCCCCCGCCAAGGGCTGAGGCCAGGCACGGTGGCTCCAGGGACACCAGCCCAGGGCCGCAAAGCTGTTACTGTCTGCCATCCTGACAGAGGCAGAAGCAAAGTGAGGGGCATCCCATGCAGGCTTGGGACAGCAGGAGTGGTAAGTGCCGAATGAGGGCACAGGCAGCGAGAGTTCAGAGGAGGGAGAGAATCTAACTGGGGACGGCACAGCAGTGGGAGGTGCGGTTGTGAGCAGTGGAGACCAGCTTTTCACACGCCCGCCCTCCGCAGTGCCGGCCCACACTCCCGGAGGAGCCACGGCCGATTCTGCCAAGTCTGCTTCGGGCCAGGCCTGCAGGAGTGGAGGCTGCATCTCCTCCCATCCCCGGCCGCACCCCCATGTACGCGCTCGGCCCCGCAGCAACGTGCAAAATGTCTCAGGGGTCCTGGGTCCCCAGCTGGGCAGGCGGGGGGAAAAGGGGGCTCCAGCTTCTCTCCCCCAACGGTTCAGCGAATTCCCCAGCTTGGCACACGCGCGCGCGCGCACACACACACACACACACACACACTCGCCCTGCCTCCCTCCCTGTGGTTTCTCCGTTCTGTTTCTTCGCTTCCACCACAAAACCTCTAAACCCAGTGTGAGGTCAGGGTACGTCTCCCCCTGTTTCAGAGGTAAGGAAGCCCGTGGGGAGGGAAGGGGGTTCGCCATGGTAACACGCCAGTCGGTGGCAAGCCGGCTTCTGAAGGCCGGGCCCTCTCCACTCCACCGTGACGCCTCTAGTGGGTGAGAAGGTCAACTGTGACTCAGCCCAGCAGAATGAGATCGGCGGGGGCTGCGAGAGAAAAATGCGCACTCCTTACAGAGAGGTGCACCGTGGGGAAATCATTTTACTGACCAAAAAAAGCATTTCAAGTCCGAAAAGGGAATGCAGGCTCTGCTCAAGGAGGGAGGAGGCTGCTCGGGGAAGCTCTAGGGACCTGGGGAGGTTGGGGGTGGGGAGTGGGGCACAAGTCACTGGAATGAAACTGGAAGACACTGCCAGGTGAGGCAGGTTTTCTCCTGGGACCCTGCACACGGAAGGCGAAAAGCCCATCAGCCCATCTCTTAGGGGAGGGGAGAAATCACGGTAAGACACAAGCCGTGGCTAAGAGCTACTGCAGGCACCTTCCACGCGCATCTGTCCTTATGGTCTGGGAGGGGTGGGAGGGTGGGAGGGTTCAGGAACCGAATGAGGCGAGGTGGTGTGTTTGTTGCTGATGATCAGGAATGAGAAGAAAACACGTGACGCCTTTAAGCTTTTCTCCCCAGTTTTACTGAGATAGAGTCGACAAAACGGCAATGTTTGACCCGCTGGGGAGAATTCCCACCATCACCTTAACGACCACATCTGTCACCTCACAGAGCCACCCTTTTTGGGAGGGGGGAGGGGGAGGACATTTAAGTCCTATCCTCTATGTGCATCTCAATGACACAGTAAGGCCTCCTGACCCTACTCAGGTCCTCTCCTTTACGTTTCCAACCTAAATCATAACCACGCCTCTTGAACCATCTGGGAGACGGCCAGGGGGAGGTGGGGAAAAAAAGGAAGAAAGAAAACCCACCTTTCAGAGGAGCCAGAAGCACTTTCCTGAAAACTTCGCGCATCCCTGACTGGTCGCAGTCAGTGGACGTGAATTAGTAAGCGAATCTGTTTCTCTATGCAACTTCTATTAATAGGATATCGGTCTCTTCTCATCCTCACTAAATAAATGTCAAACAAACACTTAAAGAATACCGGTTTGATGGGGTGCCAGATTACTAGCTTGCCCAGACGTCTGTATGTCTCAGGCTGGCCCAGGTTGAAAGCAGAAGTTCCAAAAGAGTGGGTAGCATAACTGAAGTCAAACACTGTGGTTTCCATCCCCCGCTGACATGGAGACGGGGAGGCAGGTGGCAGTGGAGCGAGCATAGACGGACAGATGCGGAGGGTGGGCTGCCGGCCGGGGGCCGGGCCACCGCAGCCTCTCCGTCCATCCCGAGGATGGCTCCTTGGTTCCTGTCTTACTGAGACACAATCAGCAGGCCCCACGTTCACCCCTTCAAGGTGTACAATTCAGTGTGTTTAGCGAAGATACACGGCGCCCCTGCGCTCTCTGGCTCCAGGACACTTCCTTCGGCCTCAAAGATAGACCCGCACCCATTATCACTCTGCGCCCCCGCTCCCCCTCGTCCCTGGCCAAGGCCAACCCGCTTTGGTGTCTGTGGGGGCGCCTGTTCCGGGCATTCCATAGAAATGGGCGTGTGCCTGTGGCCTTCCGTGTCTGAGCATGGTGTCTGGCAGGGTCCCCGTGTCACAGCAGAGGGCGGCATGTCCTTCTTTCTCTGGCCACATCACAGCCCGCTGGACGAGCTCTCCCATCACGTTGAGCTGCTCCCGCTGTGGGGCTGTGGGGACCAGAGCGGCTGTGAGCTTCCACAGACAAGCTTCTGCATGCAGCTGTGTTTGGTTCTTTGGGGTCTACACCTAGGGGTTCCTAACGTAGTCATAAAATGACCTACGACAAACAATACGGGTACGAAAGGGTCCGAGCCTGAGTTTCAGTCTTGTCCCAGCTCCTCTCCCCAAGAGGAGATACAGATTCTGGGTTGATTCCCTCAGAGGCAGCCCACACACACCTGCACACACATGCACGCGCACACACACACATGCACACAGGTGTGTGTTGCACACAGGCAACCAGGCGAGGCTGGAGTCAGCCTCGTACGCTTTGGGAAGAGCAGCGGGGCGGGTGCACGTCCCATCTGAGGCCTCCCCCCCCCCCCCCCAGAGAGAAGGGGCGGGGGGGGCTGGGGGGGGGGCCGAGGGGAGGCCTGGGGGTGGCGGGCTCCGCCCTCTCTCAGCTCCGTGGCCTCGAGCAACTTAACCTGTGTGCTTAGCCTCCCTGGGACTCAGCTTCCTTATCTGTAAAAGGGGCACGGACATGGGTACTGACATCACAGAACGGTGGAGCGGGCAGAGCACCCGCGCTAGGCGCCGAGCCCGGCCCGTGGGAAGTGCTCCGTGTTTGCCGCGCCGTGGTTCCTACTGCTGCTCCTTCTTCTGACCCAATCCTCGGTTTCCCCATCTGGGAAATGGGGGTGGGCATCTCCTATGCAGAGATACCATGTGGAACACACGAGACCCCTGGGCAAGGGCCCAGCGTGCTACCATTTCAGAGTGGCCAGGGCTCAGGAAAGTCAGGCCGCCTACACGGCGTCCCCGCACCCCGGCCTCTGGCTCCAGGCCCCTGTGGAAGGAGATGCCAGATCTCCCTGCTCCAACGCCTGCAGCCCTGACTTCTCCCCGTGCTGCGAGAGAGCAGCTGAGCTCCCCATACCTGCCCACCCACAGGCACAAAGGAGGTGCGGGCCTCTCGGACCCCACATTGGGGGACTGGGACAGTCGCTGGATTTCTTATTTCTTGTCCCTTCCCCCACCCCCCAACACCCTCCTTCCGGATCCTTCTTTCTGCTTTCTCAACAGACTCTCTACTCCGGAGCTGAGCTCCCTTCTCTGAATCCCAGACTGTGGAGGCAGCAGGGAAACCCTCAAGGACCTTTGATGCTGAGAGCCCTCGAGCGAGGAAGGAAGCATTAGCAGGCCCATCAGAAAGCTGTTAGGAGCAATTTTCCTCCCAGCTGGCAAAAGGCAAAGCAGAGCCTGAGGAAGCATCTTCCCAGACCTGGGAAGGCAGATCAGGGAGGAGAAACGGAACAATGCTTCCTTGGGCGTGCAAAAGTTCACGGGGGAGAAAACCAGCGTGCGTGCGTGTGCGCACTTACACACACACACACACACACACACACACACACCAAAAAGGAGAAATTCTTAGCCCGCAGCAGTTGGTAGCATTATGTAAAATTCCAAGCCCACAAAAATATCATTTGGATGATAAAAAGTTAAATTTAGCTAAGTACAGAGTGACTAATACTATGAGGGACAGGCAGCACCCCCAGTTGCCTGGAGCTGATACAGCTGGCTTCTAGAAACTTCTGACAAGTAACCAGGGCCTGGTGCGGCACAGAATAACAGATTATATAATAGGAGGCCCAGCCATCAGCGAT